GTTGACAGGCAGGTAGGAAAGCCAATTAAAACGCTCGGACCGAGCGTTTTGATTGGACGAATATTTCTTGGTCCTATGCCTTCCACAGAATATATAAATACAGATAAATACATTTAGACCACTTAACAATGATTGCTATCGGGATGTGAAGAGACTTTCAACCAGCATAACAAAAAAAAATTCTGAAGACAATCACCTATTGCACCTTTAAGCAGTAATCAATGTCACAAAATCACGAGTATGCTTTGATTTAAACGTCAGAAGCTATAGCTTACATGAATGAAAATCACAAAAATGACACTTGTAAATTTAATACTTTTATATATACAGATCTATTCATTCATGTGTAATATGTTTTTTTTTTTCAAACGGATTATGAAACTTAAATATAAGCAACTCTATTGCTTTAGACCATCTACAAATGTTAAATCTTCAAATAAAATGTTAAGGTTACCACTACATTTGTCTGGAAAAAAATTAAAATAAAATAAAATGCAGTAATTGATTTATAGTTAATGTATATTTATTTTCAGCTTTCAGTGTACTCTCATTATAAAATAAATTCATTAATTGTTTATTTAATTCTAACAAGTAAGTTTTTGTTAACTAACCAAAATTAAAAATAATTTGTTGATAATCTCTGCGCAGGAGAGACTTGGTGTTTTTATAACTAGTGTTTTTATAAAAGGAAATATATCGGCATCGGCTGTCGGCCAAAATGAGTTGAAAAATCCAATATCGTGCATCCCTACTTGCTATATTCACAGAATCTTGTAATTTCAATCTTCACAGAGAGTTTGATTAGTTAATAATTAGTAGTAATCTAATACAGAACTCTCAGGAAACTGAGTTCAGTCTTTGGGTGTTCCACGGTGTGTTATTTTGCAGTACTGACTAGAGTTGGCAAGGCTGCAGATGAGGCCTAAAGCGCTGAATTTGACCTCCACGGCCACAAGAGGGTCATCTAGCATCTTCTGCAAGGTGGGAAGGAGATCTGAATCCCGAAATGGTTCTTGGACTGCCTCTGCACAGAAGAGAAAGTGGCACATGTTTACTGGAATGTCTATTTGCACTATGGCTATTTAAACTTACTAACTTTGCCCACTGTTGTCTGCTAGAGCCAAATAAAATTACATTAAGAAACACATCTGATATCAGGAGCAGGGGGTGTTGAGAGTACAGAAGGTGGATTTAGCTTTTGACACAACCAACTAGAGTTCGAATCAGCCTTTTTCCAATGCCATTCTTCTCCCTTTTCCTATCACATATCAGCTTGTGATTTCAGGGTTTATCACAATTTATACATCTGTGTCTGCAGATTTACATAGAAATGCATATCTTTGAGAGTCGAGGATTGTTCTACATTCTGTTTATATAGTCTTACCAATGTCTATTGCAGAGGCAATGGCCAAAGCGACTAAAGCCTCATTCTGCATGATGACGTGCTCACTGGTTGCCATTGAGATGAGATGTTGGACTCCATCTGCTTTAATGACAGTGTGGATGACTTCCTTTAAAGACAACAGAGGGGGATATTTTATATAAACAGGAGCAATGACTATAGTTACACATACTCTGTGTGTCTAAAACTCACAGGGTTTCCGCTGTGTCTTATAAGAGCTGCTAATAGACGGTTGGCCTCGCCTCTGACACCGGCATGATCTTTAGCCTCGCACCACTCCATGACCCGTGCTAACAGAACCTCATCCTTCCCTAAAACTGAAGCCGCTTCCTCTACAAGGGGGGGGTACAATAGAAATGAAGAGAGAAAATATGCTAAAAAAATAAGTGTTGATACTTTAATATACAAATAAAAAAGAGATACTGTTGCAGGTTTGTTTACCTCTTTAATTAGTTACTCAGATCACCTTTGGTAAGGGAAATAATAACTGGAGTGCAGACAGTAATTTAGTGTGTCAAAGCCATTGCAGGCCTTTTGTCTGAATACAAGGTTATCTAAAATAACACTTCACTGACGGGCTGGAAATTACAGCCTCTAAGTACCCTTTGTAAGGAGAAATGTTAATTCATCAGCCATCATAGTCATTTGGCAGGTAATTGTATAGTTTAGCAAAGCTTTTGTCTAAAAATTACAACATGTTGTTTGTCATGCCCTCCTCTTAAACAGCCAAATTTTACTTTTTTACTACCACTGGGACTGTCACACTTGTTCAGTCTTTACATTTTATGCATTTAAGAGTCACTTTTCTCCAAAGCGACTTACATTGCATGCAAGTTCATTTAATAAGTTTATGCAAACTAGTCTCTTTAATCTGTGACCCAACAATTCACATAAAAGCAGTTTTCTTGCATCATTACCTTGGCCGTCCACCATCATGCGCAAAGTGCCCAGCAGTTTGAACTGGACGGGGGGCATGTCAGAGCGCAGAAGGGTCCTGATCCTCTCTGTGACTCCATCCTCCAACATACGCACCTTATTGGAAGCTACATCAGGAAAACAGAGCGAGCAAGATGACAGATCTAACCACAGACAAGCATAACAGAAAATATAAACCTGCTAAAAAGTCCAATCTGTACTGGCTCCTGTTGGTTTAATGCCACTCTAACTGGTGAACCAGCATAGCCAGTATGTTCTTTCTAGTGAAGTTGGCTGACCGAAGAAGTCTTGCTGGTTAAGTTGGTTAAGAAGCCTGCTGGAAACACCTACACACTTGTATCTGTCCCTGCACTAAACTACACTATATGCAAGTGATAACCCATGTTGTTCTTTACAAACTCAAAAAAATGTTTTTCAAATACTACTGAATCTTTATAATAAAATGTATCACAGTTTTCACCAAAAATATTAAGCAGAAAACTGTTTTCAACAATAAGAAATGTTTCTTGAGCACCAAATCGGCATATTAGAATGATTTCTGAAAGATTGTGTGGCACTAGACTTTTAGACTAGAGTAATGTCTGCTGTAAATTCATTATATTTCACAATATTACTGTTTTTACTGTATTCCTGGTCAAATAAACACAGCCTTGGTGAGCATAAGACACTTACACATTAAAAAAATCTTACTGACTTTTATACAGCATATACTGAAAAGGAAAGCAGAACCTGGGATGGCAAGATTTCTAAGTGCACTGAGGCCAGCATGCTGCACAGATACATCTCCCTCTGCTACATGCTGCTCCAACAGGTCCAGAATATGAGGAACAACTCCTAATTCCAACATCTTTACACAGTTGCTGTCTGAGAACAAAAGAAAGAGAAAACTATTCTCAGTAATTTTAACTGCAATAACGTTTGAGTGATAATTTCAGACAAAAAACGTTATCATACTCCACAACAACTCCATATTTATCTCCTCACCATTTCTGGCAAAGTTAGCAATGGCCAGGGCTCCTGACAACTGCAGCTCAGTATTTGATGACTGCAGCCAGGAGAGAACATCCTGATACACCATCCCCGTCCCTTCCCCAAAACACTTCTGCATTGATTCATCTGTAACAAAAGGCAGATGATGCTAGAAAAGGGCTAAATTCTTAAAATAAAACAAAACTAGAGTAAAATAAAACAGAATTGCACTACTCTTGCACTGCATTGTTGACATTTTCATTTGACTGCCTTATTGTCTAATGTTGATAATCTAATGGATTCTTAATAAAATAGTCTAAATAGATTAAAAAAACAATTCCATTGTAATATGATGTTATTGGTGAAGTAATGGAGAGAGACCTACCTCCCAGTAGGAGGGTCACTATGAGGTTTGAGCCCACTTTTATGCTGCAGAGGTCATGTGTGTCAGAGCCACCCTGAAGAGTTCGAATCATTTCAGAGAGCGCCTCGGGCACGCCTGCTTCCACAAACTGCAGTTTCAGAGCATCTAGAAGACATGAACATGCTGTCACACAGGGATTTGCAAGGGCACACACAAGTACATTTTTAGTTTTCTTCTAGACAACATCACATAGAATAGTGACTGAGGCAAAATTTCAACCAAAGTGCGCTATACGAATAATGTTATATGATGCAGGCTCACATATAGATCTGGTTTGAATATTATGCTGCTCACCACTCTCTCCCAGTGACCCAAGAACCTCTAGTATGAGATGCCGGCGTTCTGCATCTGGTGCCCGCTTCAGCTGATAGGTCAAGACCTCCGCCACACCCACTTCCACCAGAGCCTCTCGTGCAGCATCTAATAAATCACAATCAGTCACTAGATATTAGAAATATTATGAGAAAAAATACCAGAGTGTTTCTGTAAATAAGAATAATTAAGAATGGGGTGGTTATGAAAACAAGACTGCCTCAGTCTTACAGATGCACAATATAGTGGTAGCATATTGGTTATTGTATATGTCGGTTTAGTGTATTATGTAATTGTGCATGCTCTTTCCCCCTATTTTTACATTTAAATTACATTTGTCATCATCTAAAGCTCACTTAATGGTAATCTTTAAAAAAAAAAAATGAAAAAATTTAATAAAACTGTTAAATGTAATCATTAGAAAATCTCAAAATGAATATCCATTTTTCATATAGTACATTATTATGTTGTTGTAATGCCTAAATTCACTATTTACTATTTAAAATGATTCATTTTAGATTAATAGATTAATTTCTTGATTATTTTTTAATACCAGCCATTTATCGTTATGTAAATTTTAAAAAAAATGAATTAATAGTCATGTATTGTTATGAAAATCAATCAATCAATCAATCAATAAATGCATACATACGTAGGTATCCACCAGAATTTTAAAACTGGTATATTGCTACTCAGTGTGACAATGTCCAGTCTGTTAGTGTTTTTATTATATATGATTTTAAAACTTCCCTGCTCTCTATTTTTATCTTACCCACATCAGCAAGGTTGCAGAGTGCCAGCAGGCAGATGTTTACCAGCGGGTCATTCTCAGGATACTGCTGCATTATGGCCACCAGCCTGGGGATTACACCGTTCTCCACCAGCTGCGTCTGCTGAACAGCTGAGAGAGAGAGAGAGAGAGAGAGAGACAGGGAGGACGGGTGAGTGGGCAAGCACAGACAGCCAAGAGAGGAATGGGCATTGCAGCTATAGAAGAGCTATAGAAGAATATAATGGAGAAAAGAGCACAGGGAATGAGTGGTAATTTATTTTATTCTGAATGTCTGTAATGAATACTCAATATGAACAGGATGTTGTAAGCCAAGCCTCAACAAAACAAGAGCAGAATATTTGTATTATAACTTCATATTTACAGCATCTTGTTAGATATAGGACATTTTTACTTATAGGACTGATCATAGACAGCATAACCAACCTGAGGAACAGCTACCATGCCGTCATTGGAATATGAAATTCAACATAGACCTGGACAGAAGTGCTGGTGCTTTCTAGAAGAACACTTTCAGCACAAAGACTGAGAAAACTAGGCCAGGAGATGGCATTATAAGAGAAAGACAATCCAAGGACTTATAAAGACAAGCATCCCTCCAAACAAGATGTCTTTATACCAGATGCAGACCAACAAACCATAATACCAGGAGAACTGCAGGTTCAAGAAGTTGAAGGATGAACAGAATCAAGATTCTGACATTTACTATTCATATTAACTCTGTGGTAAGAAAGAAAACTGTGTTAGAACAGAAGCAACGAAGCTAAGTGGAATTGTGCGACCAACTGGAGACACATCAAGACTGTTGGTGAGAAACACGATCAGCTTGACTGCCACTATCCTGCTCCAATGCACTCACCATTTTCAAAGCAGATACGTCCAATTGCTCGGCCTGTGTGCAGGAGCTGGTCCTGGTCTGGGCTGTTCAGTAAAGGCACTAATGCGGTCACCAGACCTGCTTCAATACAGCGCTCCCTCACAGCAGCTAACACACAAACAAAAATAATGGTTGCAAAAGGTTTTTTTTTTTTTTGCAGAGATGCCACAGAAGAACCATTTTGGGTTCACCAAAGAACCTTTCAGTGAACAGTTCTTAAAATAACCATTTATTCTTAGTGAAAATTTAGACATTATCTAGTCCCTCTATCAAGCTATTTATAATATAGGGTTTTGCTGAAAGTTTTATCATCATTGTGGGGACGTTTGGTTCATACATGGACACAAACATGAACATTTGTAAACATTTTTAGTGAAAGTCATGAAAATTTCCGCCACAGTATAATTTCCAGCACATCTCAATACGTTGTCTGAAATGTAAATTGCGCTTTGTGTTAGAAATGACACTAAGGGAAATTATATTTTTTAAACTTTTTTCTGTAATAAAATGACAGCTTCTTTTGTCTTGCTAAGGTTAATTTCATAGCTAGCATGTATCCTAAATACAATTCAATAATATTTTCACACTTACAGTAACATAATTTGACAAAATTATGGCTTGACTGGAAATGACACATAATGAAAATGATTCTGTTCAAAAGTAAAATTTACCTTGATTTCTCTGTTTCCTTCACATATACATGTCTCATATTTACATTTACAATTTTATCCAAGTGACTTACAAATGAGGAACATAAGCAAGTCACTACAGAGCCAATAATATTCATAGTACATGTCATTTCCAAAAAAAAAAAAACTACTTTTGTCAAATTGGTGGTGGTGTAAATGGCAAAATTCTGTCCCTCATTGATATAAATCATTTCTCACAATACATTTTGAAATGGTTTATGTTTATTTCACACGTTGTGTAGATTATCACAGTTTTAATCTATAAATAAAAGGCATTTGAAAATAATTTCTAAGCATAAGATTTTCATAAAACAAAAACAACAACAACCCATGAGACATAAAAATAAAATACCCATATAAGCAACAAACTGTATTATAAATCTCATTTACCTTCTCTGGCCATCTCTGCCACCAGTAAGGTGACCTGAGAGGTGAGGGGACTCTTCTTCCTCAGGACTTGAGCAAGTATGAGTAGAACACCACTGGACACTATTTTCTCTGCTGTTCCTTTCTCTGGGGATAGAAATAAATGTGATTGTTTTCTTCGCATGTTGGTAATTCCATATACTTATATAATATAAATAAATGTATGTGTTTATTTGGCTAAAATACTTTATAGGTATGTGTGCTCTGTTTTTGTATACTGGATATCACCACTAAATAAAACCAAACTGAACGCTTTAACAAAGCTTCCCTATTTTTCAAATCAGTGTCAAATCAAGTTCTGACTGCACTTTCTTCCTGATAGCTCATCCTGTTACTTCACATTTTATTTGATCTCCTCCCTCAGGTTTTGTTTCGTGCACTTCAGGGATGCTTTGACACCGAGGCCTTAGAGTAATCCGTTCAAATTCAAAGTGGTATATGAGGATCTGCTTCGGAGACAGGGATACTAGCAGGAGGAAATCGGTCATTAAAGCATGTTTTCCTCAAGAAAAATTTCCACAAGGGCCACAGTGGCAGGTCAAGCTGTAAGAGGAAGCCTAGCTGCCATGGTGACATCTACTTTGTGTTCTTTTGTGGGGGCTGCTTTTCCATTTTTAGATGCATTTGTGATCTGAAAACACAAGGAGTGTGCCAAGAAGGACAGCTGGTGCAAACTAATTTGCGAGAATGAGCAGAAGATGGGGAGTGAAATGGAGAAAAGAAGAGAAAGATTAATGAGATTAACCCGTTCTCTCCTTTGCCTTCCCTCTCTCCCTCTCTCAAATGTAAATGCGGATTACTTGTCTCCTATTTTGAGCCCCAAATCTGCTAGCAGGAAGATAAACTGACCCTCTGCTGCCCCCTACATTGGATTGTCTTCCTACACACACACACACACACACACACACACACACATATAGTACTTCAAGGAGGCAGAGGCAAATAGCAGCTCACAGCAGGATGAGTGTGTAATGAGTGCGATGCTAAATGGTGCACTCACTCAGTAAGGCTTCTAGCAACAACAGACGTCACTTTCACATGTGATCACGCTTTTTACAGGCTCTCATAAGGGTCATGGCACCAGGATTGGATGTTGCAATAGACAAACGTATAGATATGAATGAAAAAGCAGGTTTATGGAATGATGGGTTGACAGATATATAATTAGATCGAAGGGTAGTTAATTGGTACATTGGCGTAAACTCACTCTTCTCTAATAGGAGGTTGAGCAGAACATCCAGATGAGGCTTCAGCTCCTCCTCCACCAGCTCTGTGCTTACACTGATGGCTTTCAGGGCCTCACTGAGACATTCTGAAACACAATCATGAGCGTCGTCACCAACACCACTGCACAACATTTCAAACTAACAAGACATTTTCATGATGATTCATAACCATCTCAGTTATACTACAGATACAGTTTATCCATGTATTCAGTGAATTTGCCATGCACATTATCAGACTAAAATATAAAGAAGTAAACTGAATGTCTGTATTTTGATTTGTCTTTATCTATCTATCTATCTATCTATCTATATGGTAGTTAATTGGTACATTGGCGTAAACTCACTCTTCTCTAATAGGAGGTTGAGCAGAACATCCAGATGAGGCTTCAGCTCCTCCTCCACCAGCTCTGTGCTTACACTGATGGCTTTCAGGGCCTCACTGAGACATTCTGAAACACAATCATGAGCGTCGTCACCAACACCACTGCACAACATTTCAAACTAACAAGACATTTTCATGATGATTCATAACCATCTCAGTTATACTACAGATACAGTTTATCCATGTATTCAGTGAATTTGCCATGCACATTATCAGACTAAAATATAAAGAAGTAAACTGAATGTCTGTATTTTGATTTGTCTTTATCTATCTATCTATCTATCTATCTATATATATATCTGTCTGTCTGTCTATCTATCTATATTTATCTATAATATAGATAAATATAGACAGACAGACAGAAAGATAGATAGATACAGATGTATATAGATTCTATATACATCTGTATCTATCTATCTATCTATCTATCTATTTATCTATATACATCTGTATCTATCTATCTATAAATCTATATCTATTTCTATTTATCTATATATACATCAGCATCTATCTATCTATCTATCTATCTATCTACTATTGGGTTGAAATTGTTTTATATTGATATTTATTTATGCATGCTAATTTACCCTATTCTTTTGATTTAGATTACATTTACTTTTAAAGCAATTGCAATTAAAGCATTTAAAGCAATTGATTCCAAGTCGACATGAAATGGAAGCTGCAATCGTTTGTCATCCCTATTCTGACAGATATTTGAGTGAAATGGATTCTTAAACAAGAAAAATGTAGGATGGGACCTGATTTTGTCCATTGGGAATTGATTATAAGTCATTATAGAAGTCATTTTTTTCCCATAGAAATAACAATGTGTATGGATAAACTATTTATAATAAATACTGCAATATTCCACAAAAAGGAGTGTCAATTTTGATTCTATGGTGGTATTAAAGTTGAAATGAAGATCAAGCAATGTCTGTGTGTTGTTCATCCTGTGGATAAACACGTTGATGTGATTTAATCTGCTGTGACATATCCCTATGTAGTATGTATATGTCCCTATAGTATACACTATCTGCAGCACACTATGACGGTCATTCCCCAGGCACAGGAAGCAAACAGGGCCAGAATAAGAGAGAGACGATTCTGTATTTCTTCTGTAAGTAATCACCGCGATAACCCCTGGTAAGCAGAGTAAAAATAGACATAGAGGAGGGCTATCATACCTTTCCCTCCCCCACACTCCCTGTGATCCATTCAAGCTCTCTCCATTATAGGTGTAAAGGGCAGGCTGGAAAGCAGCAGTGCGTATGAGAACTGGGCGGGGTTGAGGATACCCTGGGTCTCTCATTGTGGGTGTCTGGCTCCCAGCATGCCCTTATATAAACACCTACACGCTGAGGATACACCTCTTAAACAATGGGGTTCGGCTCACCAGGAGGGTTAATCACCATTCGATTGCTACGAACCTAAGAAAGTGTGACCTTTAGATGCATGCATACGGTGTATCTGTTCAAAGTTATACCTTGTATTACAGTTAGTTAACAACGTGCAGCAGAAGCTCAAAGAGGATTAACAAAGAAGAGATTCGAATCACTTACCTATGTCTGCCATGACCACAGGTCCACTGAATCTCTCTCCGAGTCTCTGTGCGTGTCTCGGCGGCGTGTGGTTAGAGAGGCAGCCCTCCACGAGGCAGGATGGACAGCTCCAGCCCTGAGATCGCCTAAAGACGGTGAAGCAGCCGTGCCTCTCCTCTCCTCGGCTCCTCACCCTTCCCGTTTGTGCTGATCACACATGCGTATTCCTCTGGTCCCTCGCTGTCATTCACGCCCTCACTTTCGCTCTGCACCTCTCAGTGATCAGTGACGCTGCATCTCTCTCTCTCTGATTTGCACTCTCTCTCTCTCTCTCTCTCTCTCTCTCTCTCTCTCTCTGATGCAATCCTCCCCACCCTGGTCCTCGGCTCTCTGGCAGTATTCTTGCTGCCTCTCCCTCGTTCCTCCTCATAATACACTCTAAATCCTAAAGCTGCTCATCAGTTGACAATTAGTCCTGGGAAGACGCTGGGGCTGACACTTTACCCTTAGTTCTTAGACGTGTTTTGCATTGCAGTTGCACTCCTCCATCTTTGGGTGTTATTACAGCACAAACATGAACACTGGGTCTGTTGCCCAGGGGGGGTCTGGTTAAGATATATTAGCATGGCTGTCTCAGTTGGGAAGACTCGTTTAAAGGGATAGTTCATATGCATTTAATTTTTATTTCATAAATGCAAAATGCATTTATTTATCATTTAATTATTTATAATTTTTTATAATTTTATGTCATTCCAAAACCGACTTAATTTCCTGTGTGGAATACAATGGAAGTCATTTAGCAAAAGCTGCTGTATTTCTTTACAATGAACATGGATGGGACCACTGACCAGGGACAGCTGTGCAGCCTGGACATTCTGCCTGGTAACTGCTTTTGTGTTCCATGTAAAAAATAAAGTCATTAGGGTTTGGAACAACATGAAGGTAAAGAGCCATTCACACCAAGAGCATCATTGATAAATATATGTGTCCACACCAACAGACATTAGTGCATTACAATTTATTACAAGTGCACTAGAGTTCTGCCATCTGTCACTTTAAATGCTGTAGTGCTTTAAAGTCTTGGGTTCTGATTGGCTGTCAATGTTTTTAGATGGCTTATCTGTAGTGCACACTTATAATAAACAGAACATTATCGTGCACTTGTGTGGACGCTAATACATTTATCGTTATAGTTGTCTTTCTTGTTGTAAACAGGCCTAAATGATTCCTGATTCCAACGATATTGCTCCTCTTTGTTGTTATCATTATAGTTGAGGTGTTGACTTGTGTAAATGATGACAGGATATTCATTTTCGGTTGAACTGTCCCTTTAAATCTTGTCATGGTCCTCTGAAATGTATCTGTAAGTGTTTAGTGACAGTAATAAAATATTACTGCGAAGGGAAGACACATCGGCATCAAATTAAAACAGATGACCTTCAGGGCAAATGACGCAAATGTTGTTACGACTACAAGGAGTGTTTACATTTTAATTATGAAGCTTCAGCCAAGCAGAATTAAAACAGATGTTAAATATTATCTGTGTATCTGCAACATCATCAAAGCATCATCAAAAATAGCAATTTAGCAGTCATTGAGAAGACACAAATTAGAAAATCAAAATAAAATGTCCCAAAAATAACACATCCAAGTCTAACAGACTGTATCGCTGGTATGTTTACTTAGATGGCATAGTAGTTTGATTTACAGTATACCATGATACTGAACAATTACCATATCCATTGTGTATACAAAGAATATCATGGTACTAGCATTGTACATGTCCAAAATAACAGGTTAGTTCCATGGTACTTTTTGGAAATGAGCCTATGTTTATCTTTTATTCAGAATTGTGTGGCTGCACAGCAGTCTGTGCTTCAATTTGGACCAACAAAAGAGCTCCCAGAGTCATTTGTTCATCATTTCCATATAATGGTTTGCAGCAGTAGGTGGCAGTATGAGGCTGTCAATTTAGTCAAACCAGTTGACAAGAAAATGTAGCTTTGTGTTTGATGGCTCTAAAAACAATTGTTGACATATTTTTATAGAGTAATAAAACTAAATTGCAGATTGTCATGAAGGTGATGTAAATAGTTGCATGACAAGAGCCATTCAATTCCAGTATATTTGCTCATATTAGGCTTGTATTACAGTAAAATGTCAATGATCACAGTGATCAGAGTCAGTTATTCAGACTCACTGTGAATATATAACCAGATATATTTGAATATGCTTTAGTTTAAATGATAAAAAATTATATTTTTCACATTATAAATAGCATATTTTAAACATTATTTGTCACCAAAATAATAAATTGTCACTAAAACATGCTCAGAAGAGACACCATTCATTGCACTCGAATATCATTAGTGTCAAAGGCCTCTACAGGCACATGTGAGTGATTTGAAATTGCTCTTATAACAGCTTCTAAGCCGAATCCAAACAGACAAAACACGACAGCAGAAAACAATCAGGGAGCTCACATCTGCTTAAACAATGGGTCTACTGACACATGAGGCCTTTTCTGCTAATAAATCTGAGTCAGGAGATCAAGGGGTAGGGCAAAAAGTCAAATGTCACACTACAAACATCCATTTTGACCCAAATTCAAGAGTAGAGGAATTCAGTTCTTGTGTTGTCCAACTACGACTGACCAGTTCAAGAAGAACACATCTCCATGAGACAGTATTGTCAATATTGACAATATATATACTACCATTTAAAGTTTGAGGTCATTAGAATTTTAAAGAAATTAATACTTTTATTCAGCAAGGATGCATGAAATTGATTTAAAGTGACAGTGAAGACATTTATAATTTTACCAAATAAATAAAAAATTCAAATAAATGCTGTTCTTTTGAAACTTCCTATCAAATAATGTAACCAAAAATGTATCACCATTTCCACAAAAATATTTAGCAACACAACTGTTTTCAACATTGATAATAATAATAATAATAATAAATGTTTTTGAGCACCAAATGAGCATATTAGAATGATTTCGGAAGGATCATGTGACTCTGAAGACTGGAGTAATGGATTTCATCCGCTAACAACATTTACACAAACTGATTCATTATGACAACACTCACCCACCAGACTATCATCATGGTGTATCATCAATATCATGTGAGGAGCACAATTGAAGCCACCATTGAACAACTGCAAGCCCAATCACAAAGGTTTGCTATTTCTATGATATTTGATGGCAATATTAGTCACATTTATGGGCATTTTTGCTTTAAATCGCTTTCTTTTCTTACAGACAGTCCATGTAAAGTCTTACATACATTTTGAGAATGTCCAACAGCAATCATTAAATAATTCATTTTAAAACAAATAAACAGTACGAATCACTAATGCAATAGCCTTGCAATATAACGTGAAGGAACAAAGTCAAAAGATGCGGGACGGAGGTGAAGTAATTGCTCTACAGTATGCACTGTTGACCAGACAGACTTCATTAGCTAATAGATTTGCCTTGCATTAATCAATTCACAATTCCAGACAGTCCTCTGAGAGACCAGACTGCCTCTGTTCTCCTTGCTGGTTACACACACACACACACACACACGCTTTTGTCCTATGCCATTTCTGTCTATTCCCCATGGAGGAAACCTTAATACCTTCTCACCCTCATATTGTCTCACAATGTCTGTCTACTGTACATGTGTGAAATTAAATGCAGGGTATAATTAAATTAATGAATCATATAGGGACAATAAGAACATGTATTTGCCGGAGAGACAGAGCTGAATTAAGACCTCAAAGATGCAAAACAATCCTCTTTATGGAGTGTATTGGGGTAACACAAGAAACTTTGCACATTCTGTGTATTTACAGTACACGTAATTTTCAGTGTTTGTACAGTGTATGTGTGCATGTACTGTCCCTGAGCTTCTGAATGTCCTTGTTTGGCAGATGGGGATCTGGACAGAGAACCTCTGTGTCTGTGGCATGACATAATGTGCCATCTGAGAAAAAGGCCCACGCCATGACATCTCATCAAAAATTCATCATCATCATCATACACTCAGGGGGCTTCTACTCTCTCCCCAGGGAAATATAAAAGACTAAACGAGAAGACTATATCTATGAGTTCCATTTGACCAAAAAGATTGGGGAGAAGTGTATAAAATCTGACAATATAAAATTAAGAATTAACAGCATGGTGGAACCTGTCACATTAACTAAGAGAAATTAAAATAGACATTAAAATAGTAGAAAGCAAGATAAAAGCATGATCAGACTTAATTAGTAAACTATTACACCATTTTTGGTGGGTCACTTTTGTTTGTTTTTAATCAAACTTCTATAAAGCTGAAAATGATTATGTAATTTTGTTTCATTGCTCTGTGGACAAATAAAGCTTAAGCCTCAAAGTTAAGAGTTCAATGACATTATATTAAGCCTTCCATTCTTCTTCCACATCACGTTACATAGCCGCTGACAACCATTAAACTCATTCTAAAATTAGAGTGAGAGATTATTACTGAATTATATCTGAGAAATTTCAATAGCTTGATTCCCACAGTAACCTTAGCTATTCTTTTTCATATTATCACTGAATATAATCCAAGACCAAATGTGTTGCATCGTCACCTACTATGACTATGATAGGCTTGGATTAACCAATTATCACTTGAGTCATTCAATCTCGCTAATATGCTTTAACTAGTAGTAGTCAAGACATTTGGCTGGATCATGTGATGAAAGAGAGTCTCAAAGGAGATCTATCTGCATTCTTACAGGTTACAGGATCGCCTTACAGAGCAGTAAGGTGGGGGAACAAATACTCAGTGCAACAATGAGGGAGGAGAATGTCATGACCTCGAGTTGGTCTGGTATGTTTGTGCAGTTTATGCAATTCATTGAGCAAGCACAGCTGACTAAAAAGGGAAAAAGATAAAGGGAAATATGGTTAAATCGAATGCTTAGTTGAGAAAGTAGAAACTTTCACTGATTACTGTGGTCACAGATTATCCTTTTAGTTTTATGGGCCCCAACTGTACATTGAAGTATTCATAGTTTAGACTTTCCAAACGTATTTCATGGTGCAAAAATATACTAGAATCTTAAGGTCTATATTTATAGACCAACTTTTTCTAGAAGCAATTAGATTAGAAAAGGGATTTTCCTAAGAGAGCAAATGGCACTGAAGTCCTGACACAAACCAAACTATCAATGTGTTCACAGTCCAATAGCCATATAGTTCTAAGAGGGGGAAAAAAGTAGTTTTGTCAGGCTTCTTGAATGAGGCTTGAAATAAATAGTTTT